CTCTTTACTAGAAAGTCACCCAAAAACAACCTTTTTTAATTTTTGGTCATTCTATTTTGTCAATTTTTCACAAAAATATTGAATAGATGAACGTTGAGGAGGATTACTTAGAAAGCTTGGCTAAATTTACATTTATTAAGAACCAACTTTAATCCAACCTACCTAAACCATTAGCAACCTAGTCCTAGTTGGGTAAAGAAATAACATGAATATGCCAGTATTTGCTTGCAAGCAGAAGGAAATAAATGTAAAAAGCGGTTCAAATAGATAATAGGAAGAATCCTTTATGAATTCGTATCACAAAAGGTAAATTCTGACTAGGAGAAATTTATCTCTAATTTTGATGGAGAGGATGGCAAGGAGTTGAAGGCCAAGTTTCTCAATACTTATGGTTATAATAAGATTCTAAGCCCATGTCTGTTCAAGATGCTATTTCATGAATTCAAGGAGATTTGTATTTATTTGAAATTGAGAGTATTAGAAGATGTATGATAAGAAAGAGCATAATACCTGGGTTTATAAAATTTCAAACGGAAAAGCGTAAAATAATAAGAATATGAGAATATTTAGAGATTGTTTGGGATTTAAGAAATTTACTCTAGCTATTAATATTGTTTGATAAATTATTCTAAACTTTAAGCCATTTTGATTTTTGATTTAATTGATTAAGGCAATTAGAGATGATAATCAAAGATTATTATTTGTATAAAATAAAAATATCCCAAACTGGATGTGTTATTCTAGGAAACTTAATTATTGATGATTCCAAATCAGAATCCTAGATAGAGGTGAAATTATGAAATCAGACATTAGTGTTTAGGAATTAAGACAGAATCTTTCTGAAGAAATATATGAGAAATAAGTTTTACTAATATACAATGTCAAGATAAAGATATATTTTCAGGAAAAAAAGGAACGACTTTCGTGAATGCTCTAATAATTAATATTATCTCATTAAAATTAATGGGATGATTTCTAAAAAGTTGAGCAGCTTATGTCGATCGGGATGGCAGAGAGGGATATGAATGACCCTTTTTTAAGGATATCATCCAAAAAAATTTTCATAAACAAGACAAGGAACACAAGAGAACAAATTATGTATAAGTTTTATCAAAATGGATCAGAATTCTCAGACCGAATTACAAGCATGACTCTTAACAATACGATTGGAAAAATTTTTGGGTAGACCTTTGATACATAAGTGTTACTAATTCTCTAAGAAGGAATCATAAATCATAAATTTAGAAGTGAGAACAATAATATCATTTCCTTGTTGACTCAATTATAGATATTACATAATGTTCTCTTCAAGAAAACCTCAAGAAGAGTTGCTCGATAACCGCGACGT